GTCCGCGCATGTGCTCCTCATTCTCTTCGATCCCGGCCGTAGCCAAAACGATTATAATAACTATTTTATCCGGCGCGGATCTGGGCCATTGTGCCTCCCCATTCTGAAAGTCATAACACGGTGCCTACGCTGCCCTTCGGGAACTGCTCTTCGGGGCTCCCTTTTGGCTCCGCGCTCACTGCGCTATAAACCCGGCGCACCATGAATCTCGAGTTTATATACGCGTCTCTGCGGCCTCTCTCCCCTTGTGCTCGCTCTCTCGCAGTTCTCCCGGTCTCTCCCTTCACGAACACATCGTCTCGGCGCGCACACCGACCAGCAACTGTGTTTCGAATTTGTATGGACGTATTATGCCGGGCCGTCTTCGATGGAAGATGACGCGGGCAATATCGTTGATACCCGGCGAGATTGAATCTCGCGGGGAAATTGGGCGGATCGAGGGAAATGGAATTCGTAGGTTTCGTTGAACAGGAGTTTCATCGTTTGGTTAAGCCTTTGTATGAATAATTTGTAGGAGTCAAATGCAGGACTCGTTTTCTAATTAACAATAAAGCTACTTGCAATTTTTTTAAATTGGAACAATACGCTTCTTGAGATTTGAAGGGTGTCCTAGACTTGTAGCTGAGCAAATGCAATTTAAATGAAAGGCTATCGCAAAAACGTCTTTATAATTGAAATACTTGTACAATAAAAATTCTGTTAATTTGACTCGTTCGGTAGTGTTGAACCTTTGAATTTTAATCACAATTTTCGATTCGACTCGATCGGAGTTAAGTCTGTAATTCTTAAATATTGAACTCTTTCCTCTCGTATAAAATAGTAGATCGATGCATCCATTCTGACGAACGAATAAAATTCCAATGAAATTCAAGCGTGAGGCGCGACAAGAAATTCAAAGAACATGATACAACAATTCAACGGAAGATACTCTCATAAAATTCAGTTTGCCAACGGACGTTCTCTGTACCTTCGATCGCAGGAATCATCGCCATAACTCGTTCCTCCGGGAAGCGTGAGATACGCGTTCGAGTCTGGATCCCCGCGCGAAATTCCCTCGGAATCCTTCGGCCGGGTTCGAACTTCCATCCGAGTCGAGCCTCACCGACAGAGGAATCCTCCGTGCGCGGACAGGTAAAGGAGAAAGAGGAAGAGAGAAAGTAGGGACGGGTTCGAACTGAAATTTTCAATTCTCCAAACGTTGTATCCCTTGGAGATTTTCAAAACTCGAAATTCGCTGACAATTCTGGTTTCAGTAAAGGAAAATCCAACAATATACAGAAATATCTAATTCACATTTCTATTTAAAGGCTCTTTAACATTCATACTGCGAACGATGCTTCATCCATTGACTTTGTACCTTTCTCAATCTCAACTTCAATATTTTCAAATGCAGAAAATAACTGCCAAACTTCGAATCCTCGAAGCATTCTTCGGTTTCACGAGGTTTCAAAGTTTCAACGTTTCGAGTAACCCATCCCCAAGAGAGAAAAGATTCGCTCTCCCCGTATCACGCGTGTATCGAGGCGTCTTCGTATAGGGGTACGGTGCACGCACACGCGTCCGTCGCCTCGCACACGACCGTCGCCGGCAATATTTCACAGCATATTGTTGCCATCTGCACACGCAACCCCGAGAGACAGAGAGAGAGAAAGAGAGAGAGCGAGGGAGAGCTGAGCGCGCGCACGACAGAACGCCGGGACGTAGGAGAGACGCGAGAGCGAGGCTTTTATTTATCTGCTATTTATTTGCCAACGTGCTCGCTACCGGAGTGGTCCTCGGCCGGGCTCACGACCCTGCCGGGGACAGATTTGAAAAGTTATTAATCGTCCCGTTTTCGGTAGAAGGAGAGACGCGCGAGCGGAGCCCCGGCTCTCTCAACTGGCGAATCTCCTTTTGTGCCGTGGGGCTGGGATAACCAGGCGTCGTTGGCACCTCGGGGCTCGCTAACCCTCGTCCTCGATTGGCTAGAGAGAAGAGGGTTCCTCTCAAGGAGGTGCGAATCGGTGGGTGGAGATTCAGAGGATCGAACAGGGAAGATCGGAGAATAGAACAATCTCCGTATCGGCCTATTGTTTTGTTATCGATTGAATTCGAAGGATGCTTTGTCGTGGAATAGTTTATTCCAAGATTTCATAATTAGAGATGAATATGGTCGAGTTGTATAGGGTGTTACATACTGATAGAAAATTAAGTAGTCGGGTATTCATGTGTACTAGGAGTTAATTGTCAGTGAAAGATTCTAAAGGGATCGAATTTACTTGAGAAATTCGGAAATCGAGAAACTCATTCAGTTCTTGTATCAATGAATCAAACTTTTGAGAAAAATTTCGTAACACGATCCTCCCAGAGATTCTCATTCATCTTTCCAGAGGCGAGGGAGCTTCTAAAAGTCGGGAAAGGAGTCGTTGGATCTAATTTAGTGGACGGCGAGCGGAATTTTCTCGACACGGTCAGGCGGCGTGTTGAACGCGGCGCGGCGTGTCCATCGCAAATTGGCCGGAGCGGTGAAACCTCTCCGCGCCGGTAGCCAACGGGAGAATTTGAAGCATAGTCATGTGAAACGTCAGATAAGCGGCGCGACACCGCGCGCGTACCGCTATCTTTCCAGGTTCATAAATATTTAAGACGCCTTCTTACGACGGGGCCTGCCATAAGCGCCCGCAGTCCACGTCCGAGCGATTTAAATATAATCTGTGTCGCGGCGATACGTCACGGGAACATGGCAATGTTATCGCGCTTTTCACACGTGAGATGAATAACGGCGCGGCAGCACGGCGCGCGCTGCGAAAACTCGCCACGCTTCTTTGTCGCCATTCGCGCGCTGACTTTCCATCGAGCGATACGCCGCGGATCGACATTCAAAACTCGAACCGCCGCCGTTCGTTATCGGCCGCCGAGAAAAAGACGCCAACCGGCAACGCGTAACGATCGTGATTAGCAAATAGAAGAAAAGGAACTGCCGAATAGACTCCGAAACCGTTTAGTTTCGCTAATCGAAACAAGCGACGAGGTTTCGAACGGTACATTCCATTTTTAATATATCCGAGTGAACACTTATCTATGGGGACACTGTCACTGAATCAACCACGTTGAACTTCGGTTTTATCGTTTCTTTTGTTCAACATCATACCCGTTCTAACCTAATAACTTTCTCAGTACGTTTATTTTAATCGCTCTACATTCGAGTATCTAATACTACACGGTATTCACTATGACAGACGATACATCGAAATTTCACCGATGCCATCTCGATCCGAAGACTTTAAAGTTTCGTTCAATCGTCGACTCCAAGCGGACCGATCCATCGAGAAACCTCCGGTAATAAAGATCCCCGGGCGTAAAGAGGAACAATATGGCAGGAAAATCCTGGCGACGGTAAAACCTTCTCTCGAACACTCCGTGGAACCCATTCCACGGAGCCTGGTCCTCGTTTTTACGTTCCGCTAACGCGGATCTCAAATCCGCAGCCGCGACTGTCGCCCCCCTTCTCCCTTGGTCACGGATAAGAGAGTTGAAGGACCGAGAAGGAGAGAAAAAGTGCAACGGAAAGGAACACGGAGATAAGGAGCGAGAAAAAGAGCAATGGAGAGAGAAGCACAGTGAAAGAGAATGAACGAGAAGGAAATAGAGCAGCGGAGAGAGACACGGATTATAAGAGAGCGGGAGAAAAGGAGCAACTGGGAGAGACACGGAAAGAGAGAGAGAGATAGGGAGAGGAGGGCGAAGTTGGCCACCATTTTCCCCATAAAAAATCCGCCAAGTTTGCGCTTCCTGTTCGCGCGTCTCCGCACTTCTCGGCGAGAGAGCGCCAGTAGGAAGTCCCGGAAAAGGGTGTCTACGCGGAGCTAGATGGGGTGGGGGTTGGTGTGAGCCGACGGTAAAATATATTCCAGTCAACTTCCGGTGGAAATAAATAAGAGTCACGCCACACGGTCTCGTTGCGCCCCGACGACGGCGGCCATTCGTGTGCAGGGGAGCTTATCTCTCGATATCTCTGCTCCTCGCCCTAGGCGGAGAGGAGAGCCACTACGGATAGAGAGCGTATGGAGGGGCGAGTGGGGACGGAGAGAGAGAGAGAGAGAGAGAGAGAGAGAGAGAGAGAGAAAGTGTGTGTGTGCCGGAGAGAAAATGTTCCACCAGTGCTCATCAAGATATCCGGAAATCACGATGGAACGATCCGCGATACGATGTAATCGCGTACGGGACGCCTATTGTAGCGCCGCGAGTCGCCGCGGTTTTTCCACCTATGCCCCGAGGAAAATATTCTTCCTGTTCGTTTCTCAACGACCCCGGGCCTTTTCCCGCTGCGTATCGCTACTTTCCACCGTGATAATTAGCACACACGTACACACCGCGAACAAGAATGCTTCCGGTAGGAAACACGACCCAAGAAGCGAGAAAGGTGAAATTAATTACACGTCGTAACAGATGTCAAGCGTCTTATTCGATTTTATTTATCGTTCCCTTTGTTGCCCATTTGTCTCTTGCCCCGTGCGCTCGATACGGAACGACTGATTTCGGAATGGATATTCCGAGGTCGAGATATCAGGCGTCAAGTAATTCCGAAGTGGGATAGTTTCGTTTAGAAATCGTTCTCGTTCGGGATGTTATGAAGCGATTAACTTAGAAGAATATGATTAACTTCACTTCGAGTTGTGTTAAAAGTATCTGCCGTTTAATCTACTAAACGGTGCGCACGTGTAATCAGTTCTTTAGCAATGCGTTCCGAAGCGAACATTACACGAAGTAACATGTCAACGCGTGTCAACGCGTGCACCGGCGTCTTTTGTACGCACGCCGGTGTTTGTTGATTATTTTTGAACGGCGATTGTTCGGTAACGGCGAGCATAGATCAACGTCCACGTTTCTATCCGCTGATTCGCCGGCCACGGCGCTGCGTGTACCGCTTTTCAATTATCGCTGTGTAACGCGCGTGTAATTGTACGTCTCAATTACAACGCCATTAATTCCCGTCCCCGGTTTTTCCTTTTCTTTTCCAGGAGAGAAGCCGTTCAAGTGCGAGTACTCCGGCTGCGAGAGGCGGTTCGCGAACAGCAGCGACCGCAAGAAGCACAGTCACGTCCACACGTCGGACAAGCCGTACAATTGTCGGGTTTCCGGCTGTGACAAGTCCTACACCCATCCCAGCTCGTTGCGCAAGCATATGAAGGTACGTTCGTTTCCAAATGATTGCACGCTATCGAATAATTCGCGGTTCGCCCATCCCCTCTCCTTCATTCTTCGTTATTATACTTTGAATACAGATTTTTAGGGATTAACACCTCGCCTTGTGATCCCTTTCGCAGCTACGTTGATCAAAGTGATTTAATCATTAACAATTAGGTAGACTACAGATGAAAGCTGGATTAATGGAAAGTCTGTTCCTTTGTAACTAATCTTCAATTAGTTTTTTTATTGGAAATTGAACACTGCAGTAGTAACTATCAGTCCTCTATATCAATGAAACCCGAAAACTACTAGATAAACTAAACGACGAATACGAGACATGAACGCAAAGCAACTTCTATAACGTCTACATTGTGCAAAAGCAGTTAGAAAAACCCACGACCGCGTAACAGCGCATCATCATTTAATTCAGCCATTAAAGGTTCAACCGCCCGGAGCCAAATGCGCGCGTTGAATCTTACGCAATTATCCTCGTTCACGCGATCTTCCCGGCGTTTCCCTCCCACGAATTAACCTGCGAGCCGCGTTTTCCATGGTATCGCACTCGCGCACCGTATCGTTGGCTAGCGGCGTGTTTTCCGGCGTATATCGTTTCACGCCAGGCGCAAGAGGAACGTAGGTACCTACGCTAGGTAGACACGGGTAGGAGAGAGCGGTCAGCGGACAGTAGAAAAAGAGTTGTGGGAAGATATACACTCGGTTCCCCGGTTAGGCGTCCCGGGCGCAAGGTTCATGCACGAACGGCCACGGAATCTTAATAGGAAATTATCTGTGGCAACAACGAGTGGCGACCGGACAGCGGAGCGCAGAAACCGTCCAAAAGGCAACTCCCGAGATACGTGCGCGATAGGTTCTCCTGTTCGTATAGGGGATGGGCGGGGGGAGAGAGCGTGCGGCTTTCGCTTCTCCACGCTTTTCGCCGGGCAACCGTGATTCGCGGAAGGCAGTCGTCGAGATTTGCTCACTGAATTATGAACGAAGAGGAACCCGGGACCACGGCGCGCGGGGACAGGAAACTACGGAGCCTTGATCTCTCCTCTCCCCCGGCTCTATCTCGCTCTCCGCACCCTCTGGCCTCCTCTCCGTGATCCTCCGGGTGCTCCTTCGGTTCAGCCAACGCGGCGACGCGCTCGTTTTGCTCGTGATTCCACCTTGATCTCCGAAGCGATAACTTACGACGATCAAACACACAACTAGCCCCGCGCCGCGTTTTTTCGTTCGGTTACAAGACGCGACGGCCGAGACACGCGCGCGCCGACCGTGGATCATCCCCCGCGAATGTAATTCCGGGCCCGGCCGAGCGGAAAAGTAAATTAAAAACGCGCCGGAAGGATTTACGGGAGGATCTGCCACGGGATTTAACCGGTTAACGTTTGACGAGTGTGCGTGGTGTCTTGGAACCCGGATTTGGTAAGTTCGTCGTGTGCAAATGATCGTTTGCTCTGAAAATATGAGAGCGGGATAAATCTCAATTGGTATGCTTCATCTGTAGGCATTAGTATTAAAACTGCAGTGCTCGAGGTTCATATTGAATATTCATTAAGATATCTTTGAAATGTCAAACCAGGTGTTATAGCACACTTACTGCTTGATTTTGATCGTAAGAGACTTTCAAACCTAAATACCAACAGCTTTAAGAAATCTACACGTTCCGCGGATCCTTTCATCCGTGAGTCTTTCCCGATTCACCGGATTCCAGTCGCTAAAGCTCTCCCCAGAAACTCCTCCCCCTGGAACAGTATCAACCCGGTGGTTCCCAGTGCAAGGGGGTAACGAAAAATAATCTGACGCTAGGCTCCGCCTCTTGTTTCCAGGTGCACGGCATGACCCTGGGCGAGGGCAAGATAGGAGGGGGCTACGAGAGCGAGGGTGAAGAGAGCAGCAGCAGCGGGGGTAGCTTGTCGGTGACCGGGCACACGGAGTCCCCGCAGCCGCCTCCAGTCGTGCCGACGACGACCACGGCCAATCCACCGTCGAGCCATCCGTCGACTCGCGGTCCCGAGCTGACGGAGTGGTACGTCTGCCAGCCGCCGACCGTCGGTCCCCAGCACAGTCCTCTGCCGGGGCCTCCGCCGCCCCATCACCTAGGACCCCATCACTTCAATCCGCTGATGCATCACCAAGCGACCGCCTACTAGTCCCCGAACTAGTCGACCCTAGGGGAGAGAGATGATTCCGCGTACGATGATAGTTCGCGTCGGGTAAGGAACTGTGATCTAGGAGCAAGAGGAGCTAATGTTCGGGACAATCACCCGGCTTCGATGACTCGGCTGCGACGACCGGCGGCAACGTGTTCTCCGTACTTCTGTGGGACGGTGATTTCCACTGGAACACACCCTGAGAAGATTGATCTGAAGAGTTCTTTAATCGCTGGAGGATTGGATATTAAAGATCGAAGATCAACAGGCTGCCAAGAGAAGAACAAGAAGAGGATTGCGCTTCAGTGTAGGACTTCGAGAACTTAGGCACGGTGACATCCGATCAGGAACGAACGGGGAATTAGAGGTTAGGGTACTCGAGCGACCAAAGGTAGACCGGAATCGAGACTTAATTAGACTGCGGTTAGTATATTTATTGTTTCACGTTGGAATTCAGTTGATTGGTCGACGCTCGGCTTCCGGGGGCGCGAAGCGGGGACGCGGCGGTGGTATCGAAGCACGGGACACGGGAGAAACCAAATAAGAAAGTTACCTCGGATCGAGGCGGCGCGCCGGGGCGGCGGGACTGTAAATACGATTAACGTAGATCATCATCGTGCCGCGATTTTCGGAAAAAATCGCAACGGGCCGCGACCTCGCGTTTCTTTCTCGATCCTCTCGCTGCCGGTCGCGTTTGAACCGATCGCGCACCGACCGCTCGTTAATCGTTCCTCCGGGGCCGGCCACGACCGATCTAGGCTCGCGTCTCGCTTGCTGCAGCGGATCCGATTCGAAGCGTGAAACGACCGGCCGGCGAGCGGCCGAGGAAACGCGATCGGCTTCCGCGCGCGGGGATGATCGAGGTTGGGTTACACGCACGACGAGGCGTCATTGTAAATATAATTAATAGGCGATGTTATCGAAGCGGTGAATTAAAGGGTTGCCGGGGAACGTCCGGGGGAAAAGGAGACGTTCCGCGTTTGTAAGATATGAATTACGGATTTCTTTCTGATGTGTGATATCCTGTAAATAAGAGAGAAAAAAGAAAAGAAAGAAGGGAGAGAGAAAGAGAGAGAAAGAGAGAGAGAGAGAGAATGTATGTGTGTGCGTCTGCGTGTGGATGAAAGAGAGAAAGAGAAAGAGAGTGATAGGGTGGGACAGACCACGGCGATTCTAACATTATTGTAATAATTATTATTTCCGTTGTGTATAATGCTTGGGGTTGCCGGAGGAGCGTAGACGGCTCCCGATCCACGAGACCATGCCTGTATCATATTATAATATTTGTTTTGCAAAAAAGATCCCGAAATATATTGACGATGCAGTATATTAGAGAACTGTGACTGATTTATTTGACGCGTCGACCACCTATTCCTGTTGTCTCGGTGTCCGGCAAAAAAGGGGATTTAATTACGAGGACTATTCGTCGGGGATATTAAGATGCGTATTTTATTGGTGGCAGCGGCCTCTCCGGGATCTGTTTGCCTGCATTTATTTTCTTCGTCTTTTTTCCTTTGTCTTTTTCCTTTTTTCCCTTTTTTTGTTATTTGTCTCAGTCCATTTTCCTTTTTGTTTCCCTGTTCCGCGCGACCCCCGCCCCGCTGAACCCCGGCCAGGATACGATTCATAAATATACGATTTTAATGTCGTATAATTGATTATTGAAAAGCTGGCCCGGGACGATGACAATGCTGCACGCGAAGGACCTCCAAGGACCGTGGACGACCTTTTTCGTACTGCGGAGGCGGCTGGGATACTTTATACTTGTATTGTAACGGAATTTATGAACGATCGAGATAATAAAATGCGACGAGGAATTCGGCCGGGCCGCAGTTTCGGGTGAATATCGGCCGACTAAGCATCTCCGTTGATCCCGGCCCCGAGATTACGTCGTATCAATAAATAATAACTTTAACGTGTGGAAATTAACGTTCGTTTTATTGCGCGCCGCGTATTCCGGTCTTTACGAGGGAGAGAGAGAGGAAGACCACGCCAGTGTTCTGTGTAGAGTTTTTAGTGTTCCGCGGAGATATTTCTGATCGTTTCCTGCGCGACCACCAAATATACCTGACGTCGGCGGTCGATCCCTTCAGAATGTCTCGGGAACGTAGGATTTGTCTTAGCGAATCGTAGGAACAACTGTCGGGTTGAATAAGTTACTTTGAACTCGTTTAGCGATTCTGAACGAAGTGGTTCTGCAACTCCGCAGGCCGAAGTTCTTCTAAGCTAACCACAACTGTTCGTGGCTACTTAAATCATTCAACTCAACGGAAGCTACCTTCAGCTTCACTCGTCTCAGCAATTAATCTCATAAGAGTAACAAAAAGTTCGTCGCTTCATGGGAGACTCTGAACTCAATCCAATAACCAACTAACCGATCGAAGTAATCATTCTTTTCCCGTTCCCCTTCGGTGCGATCAATAATCATAAATCAAGCAGTGGCCACAGTACTACCGGCAAAAATATAAAAGGCAGAAAAGAAGTCGAAACAAGCATTCGACCAATCGTTCTGCCTGATCGTCAGATCTCTCCGGCGCATCTCCGCGTCGTCAGAAAATCCGAAAGACCGAGCAAACGGTGGAATAATAGGTATGCTCGCGCGCAGGCTCCGAGATTCCTAGGCGAGATTATAAAAACAGTTTCCCCGCGGTATTATAAATATCTTCGCGGGGACGGGTGGGTCCTTATTAAACGGGCCCTCGAACGTAAGGAGCGTCCTCCTCCGGTATCGAGCGGCTCGGGGAGGGAATAAAAAAAGTCGAGCAAGAAAGGGGGAACGCGCCACACACACACACACACACACACACACATACAAGTGCTCACGCATGAAACGTATAAATATACACGCGATGCCACACACGTACACGGTTAGGAAGAGAGGTTTGTCTGGCATGGCGCCACAATGTGTCTAGGCACCTACGC